GTGGTGTTGGGAGGCCGAAATTTATAGAGGATGGCTTGAAAAGAAAGTAAATCTGGATTATGTGATCATATCTGATGAATGCAGATTCAGTTTGGATGGGTCAGATAACTTCCAAACCTGGCAGTTTAATCCAGAAAGGGAAAATATGAGAAATAAACATTCAATGGGTGGTGGAGGAGTCATGATCTGGGGATGTATGGGGCCAGATGGTTTTGTGAACATTTCTAGAATTGAAAAAAAATGCACAAAGGCATGGTACCTCTCTCTTTTGAAAAAAGAGCTCATGCCATTCCTAAAAAACGATATAGGAAGGGTTTCATTTTCCAACAGGACAATGCTCCTTGCCACAAGGCAAAAAGTGTGCAAAAGTATTTTAAGACTGAAAAGTGCACAGTCTTACCATGGCCAGCTTACTCCCCAGATCTCTCTCCCATAGAGAATGTATGGCATATGCTGAAGAATATGGTGTATGATGGGCCACAGTTTAGCAAAAAGGAAAATTTATGGAGGTGCATTCAAGAAAAAGTAGAAATAATGAATAAGAAAAGGAAAAAGGACTTAATCGCCCTTCACAACTCATTGCTGAAGAGGGGACTGGAATGCATTGCAAAAAATGGCTTGAAGCTAAAGTATCAAAATTTTGTAAATGTGCATTTAATTAAAAATTAACAAATATACAAAATATAGTGAGTGTACGGAAAATAGACTTGACTTTTCCAAAAAAAATTCGTACTGGCTTATACATGCTCACCAAAATATGTAAATAGCTCGTAAACTAGAGGAGGTAGAAAGCATCTGAAAATTTCTAATAAAACTAGACAAAATTTCCTACACAGTAGTCAATTTAAAAAAAAAAATCCCATTGATTACCCTTTAAAATAGCCCTTATAAAAAAAAGTCGGTTGTACGAAACATTTGTTTTAGCACTGTATGCTTTTTGATTATTTAAAAAATATTTCAAAGATTTTAAGCAGAGCTTATTTGATAATAACTAGTTTCTGGACAATTTGTTTATTCTTTCGTCTCATTTTGGTTTTGTTTCATTTTGACGATATGTTCTCTAATGAGAGGCAAAGAGAAAGAGAGAGAGAGAAATATAAAACATAAGCAAATATATTATCATATTTCTAATTACAATAATACAAAATTGTCAATTAATTTCTGTATATTTCTCCACTAGATGGCTCCTTTGATATATATATATATATAAGTTACTTTATAGGTTAGTCTCTAACATAAAACATAACATAATAAAAAATATTGTCTCCTTTTCAAATACTTTTAAAAATTGAACTGTAGAAAAATGGATAATACTTCAAAATGGATTTTAATATTTACAATACCTTGTTCAGTTATTGGCACATTTTCAAATATTATTATCCTACTATATTTTCCTTTTAAAAGTAATAAAAGAACATTGACAAACTTTTTTGTGAGAATATTGGCTATTGTAGATACTGTATTTTGTGGGATTGTTCTACCAATATCAACATTTTTAAATGTATATGGAACACATAGTTTATTAATTTGTCAGATACATTGTTATTTTATAAATATTTTTGTACTTCATTCATTCATTTTGAATGTTTTATTAGCATTTGAAAGATGGTTATCTGTTTTTAAACCTCATATACTATCTTCAAAATTAATTTATTGTTTACACTATATGTTTGCATCATGTTCTTTAGCATTTCCCATATATCAATCAATTACTTTTACAAGTGTAACCATTTCAACAGATAATCCAAAATTTCGATGTATTAGAAAAGATTTTTCAATAATTCCAACTGGAATTATCTTAATAGTTTGCCTTCAATTGCTATTCTTTATATTGGTATTATTGATGTATACTAGTATCTTTATAGCTTTACGAAAAAGACATAAAAATCCTAAAGGAAACTGCGAAAATAATAAATCTACTCAAATTAGATGTGCTTTAATGTTGTTTTGTACAGCTAGTATTTTTTTTGTTACATGGCTACCTTTACAGGTGAAAGTTTTGATGAAAGTAGACGCTGATCTAATTCAACAACGACTTTATTTTATTAATAACTCAACAAATTGTTTTGTATATTTAATTTTTCATAAACAATTCTTTAAAATAGTTAAAAGTTTATTCTGTAAATATTTAGGTGGAGACAAAATTCAAAATTCAAGTATAAGTACAATTGGTTAAAAAATCTCAGACATTGAACCTGTGAGAAAGTAAATAGCCACTGCAGTCTACTCTCCTCATTAAACAATCATCATTTTCCCTCTTCATTAATTTTATTTTATCCTTTGAGTGCATTGAAATAAAGTAGCAACTAATAGAGTTCTAATATATGTGAAATATCTTTTGAGTAGGGGAAAACTCATCCCCATTTTTTGGGGTTTGGTATATTGATTTTAAACGTGTTTGTTTACTTAAGCCAGAAACCAATGACAGTTATGTAAATCCTGTAAAAAAAATCAAGAAAAGATACCTTATCCACCTGATATAGAAGAGAGGACGAGTTTTTTCATTCCCATATCTTCTGATGAACATCAATTAACTTATTTTTGTTCTTTGCAAAATGTATTGTGATGCGTTTAAAATATTGATTATTTAGAATAAAGCCTTTTTTTTGCACATAATCAATAAATCGACTTAAGTTGTTTGATATTCTATTAGACGCTATGAGTGAGACGGTTGGTGGTCATCAACTAATTAATTAAAAAGAAAATTATTGTCTAAATAGGGTTAATCAAAGTTTATAGCCTTATGTTTCAACTGGTAGAGAAAGCCATATACTGTATATTGTTCAACACATTCTCTATGTCTCATTCTGCAAGTATATCTTATATTTAACTTTACCAAACCTATTCTAAATGCCATCTCAGGCTTTCCATTATCTATTACTGTTTTTGCTGTACATTGTGAATTGTCGTGAACTTTGAAAGCAAAAACTGCAGGCAAGGATTCATTCGATTTGAATGCTAGAAGATATGACTCTAATTCAGAACTTGATTAGTCATTCCTTCCACTAGCTTGAAGTGGATCATTTCTATTTAATATCTGAAACATTCCTTTATATGAGTGATGGGTTGTTTGTTGTAAATTCGTGTTTATTTTTAGCACTAAAATATATATTGTATCATATGACATATTAATCAATTCCATATCATTTTTTGCTCACAATAGGTACGGTTTCACTTTGGTACAGTTTCATTCACATGTGTATGGTTTCAGCTAGATACGGTGTACTTTTTTGTATAGTAATACAGGAATTTCTAGTTTGTAACAACAGTATTCATCCTTTCCAATCATTTACCAGTTTACCAAAGTACTCGAACAAATAGAACCTTTTAAATTTGTCCACAAATAGTCTTAATAGTTGTAATTTGGGTAGAAATGAATCAATAAAACACCTGAAAATATTTGGGAGGAAGAGATGAGTCAACAATTCCTTAAACACACAGAGAACTTTAAATTTCCATAAAAATAGTTTATTATTTGAATTTTATGATAAATATTCAAATTTCAACTATATTCTGAGATGTATATCTGCTAATTCTTAAAACTTTAAACACTATGAAGAAAAGTGAAATAAGCAAAAAGTGTTGTTTCTAAACTAGTCAATTAGATATAGCAATATTAAAGTCTAAAGTTTAAAGATTGGATCCCAATTAACTTAAGCCTATAGAAATAGAATAACAGGTTGTACAACTTTGGTTATATTTTACATGCTTGAACTCTATTATTTTATGCAACATATACATGTACATCTTAAAACCTACGCAAGAAAATGCTATAACATTGGCCAAACATAAGTCTGATTAGTCAGCTTGAAGGTTCATCTTTAATTACCAATAAAGGTTTGGCCAAGTTATAATTTAATTAACTTGCCTAGGGTGTGGCCAAGTTATAATTCAATTAACCTTCCTAAATGTTGAACCTTGTAACATCCTGTTACTAAAGATAAATATGAACTACACATTTTGGCAACTGTAAAGTGATGATTGGATGTCAGAGACAAACCTCAAAGTATATAAATCCTCATTATTCTCATTTGGCATGCAGCTTCCATCTGGACCCAAGGACCTGGGAAAATCATCTGGAAACAACCTCCACTGGAACCATCCATCTACTCCTCAACATTGGAAGACAGTTTGGTAATTTGGCAACCTGCTATTACAAACTATCTACTCTGCTATTGAACTCTCATATTGTTACTTGCTTAAGTATTATTATTGCGAATAAACCATTTTAATTTAAACATTTGTTTAAAGGTTCGAGTAGAACCAGTATTGTTATAACTTGCAAACGCATAGATTTTGCCAGCAAGAGCAGTACAAATTTGGCGCAGCCGACAGGATATTCTTTTGGTACAAGGTGAAAACATACCTGAGTGAAATTGTACCCTCCCAAGGAATAAACTATGCAATCGAAAGAGTTGATAGAACGATTAGTTGAACAGATGGTGTGGCATGTTAGGTACAATTGGAATGATTCATACTCTTTGTTTTTTATTATGAGAAATAGTCCAATCCTCCCCGATGACCCTGTTGATTACTTCTCTGTTTTTAATGCGTTACAGCCATGTTTGAGTGACCAGATTTTGGCAAGTCTTCAAATTTTTTTTTCATATGCCATACAATAGAACATTTTGAATAGATTATTAGGTGATGCCATCTATCGATGAATATTAGCTATTAATAAACAAAATGATGTAAAATTCTAGAGAAATTTGTTAAGATGCTCAAGTTGGGACTTTTTTCTTTCAGTTTTCAAATATAGTTTATTGGGAAAACCCAACGGACACATTCAAAAAAGTACTACAATGGAATGGATGAGTCAAAATATCTCTTCACGCATTAAATGCTTTCAAATGTAACAAAGGGATATTTATATGAATAATGTTTTGAAATATTTCTGTACATCATTAAAATATATTTTCATATCAATACAATTTTAAATTATTCCCTGATGATATTTCACCAAGATTTTTGTATAAATAGCTCAACATTACTGAAAAAGTGAAGAATATTTTCGATTTTGAGCCAAGAATGAACAAGTACATCATTGTGTTGTTGGGTAAGTTAAAAGTTTTGTAGATAATGCTATGGTATCCCTGGAACCGGTCGAAAACAGCCATAAATGAAATATTTGAAAGTTAGATTTCAGCCTGGGAAATGGTTAGGAGGAATAAGATAACTGTTGATATGTTCTTAGGAGGGTCCCATCTAAGGGTTAGGGGTATTCAAAAAGGTTAGGCAAAAACAAGGGCTGGGTTAGGGTTAGGGTAAAACCATAGATTTATGGCCGTTTTCTACCACATCCGGTATCCCTTAGGTTTAATTCAAAATATTCTTTAAATTTTATTCAGTATTTACACCATTTTGTTGGTCTGTGGAAAAAAGATCTGTACTTGAATGTGCTGATAAAATTACAAAATGTGTCAATCAACTGGAAAATAAACTGATCGGATCTACTCTAACAGATGTACAATCTTGCAACTTTTATACTGAATATTTTAAATGTCTAAAAGCAGCAAAATCTAAAGACTGCCCAGTTCCTAATCTCAGCTCAGCTCAAAATGAAATCAATAAATATTGTAAGTAAAGTAATTTTTTTTTAAAATATATCTACAATCTGTGATTTATTATCTCAAGGCAAGAGTGGAGCATCTAAAAATCATCTTGAACTGACAACCATTTTCTTCATTTTTGGATTAATCATAAAGTTGGTTATCTAAAGTGATATGATAATATACATTTTAAATATTAGATTATATAAGCTTTCTAACATATTTTAAACTGAAACTATTGGCTTGCTAAAGGTTGGAATAAAAGTATTGGTATGCGGAAATTTTTTGTTTCATCAATTATATATCAAAGTAAAATATCAACTCCGATATGTCCTATGTATTGAGTAAATGAGTTTCTAGTTGTAAACAAGCAAGTAGTCGCCATTTTGAAACGCATAAAGAAAGAGGTGTTGATATTAAAAGATAAGTCTTGTGCTGACAGCAGCTATAGATATCAAGTAGTGTAAATAATTTGTATAGCACAAAATTGTCAATGTTTTAAATTTAAAGATCTTGAATGCAACTAGAAAAGGTTCTACTTGTTTAAGTAATTTTGGTGATTTGGTAAATACTTCAGCAGAAGGAAATGCCCCAAAAACAAATGGAGAAGCAAAATTCAATATCCAATTTCCTGGAAGAATTATAGAACAAAAATTTTTTATTACTGCAAAATGTCTTATCTGGGGATGAGATCGAAATCTATGTTTAGCCAAATGTTATTGAGGATGGTGTTATACTGTTGTCTTTAAGTTTTTAAATTCATTTTTAAAGTTTTAATTCAATATTAAGAAGCTTAAACTCGTCCCAATAAATATGCAATAGAATTTTACTGAAAGTGACGCCATTTAACGACATCTCAAAAGTATGGAAGCAGTCGCGCAGTTAAAATTTATCGAATTTGTGGTTTTATTGGATAAAATGAGTATTGCAATAATCATATTGTAAAAATTAGTTGTGTTTATTCATCTATATATATTTGTGACCTCATTCTGATGACAAAAGCCAGACATTTTGTCAATTTATTGAAAAACTAAGGTAAAACAACAATAATGTCTATATAAATTGTATACAATTGTATTCTGATAAAATATTATAGGAATTTCTGAGAAACTTCTTCCATTGATCAATGAATACTTTATAAGATTTTGTTTTTCGCTTATAGCACGAAATTCCTAAGAATTTCGTATAAATTTTATTTGATATTCTTTTGGTCTCTCACACCGTTCTATTACATTCACTCCCTTTTATACTTTGTTAGTGTCACTTAATTGGGTGTTTGACTGTGCTCATCTGTATTGCCACATTCATGCCACGTTCATGCCACGTCGTTATCAACGATGTGGCATAACATCAAGTTGGACTGTCCCGACTCTGGGGTAAGTCAAACTCCCTTCTTAAGTGACGCTCAGACACTGACACTCGCACACTAACACACATTCACTCATATCATGTAATGTGAACGGAACGTTAGTATATAACGTTCTGTTTAAATACAATTTACCAATCAATCAATTAATTAAATATACAGTATATAAAGATAAACTATAAAAAATAGTTTTCTCAATATTTTGATGTGTAAACACAGTTTGTCAATATACTAACTGTTCATTAAGAAATGTATTCTCTTTGTAACTGGAAATTGCCAAAGAAACTCATAAATCAATTATCATAAAGTATTTATAATTTAAGAAGAAAACTTTTGAAATGAAATTCCCATCATTTCTCGTTGAATAACAATGTTTGACAACAAGAAGGCAATTTATGTATTATTCATAATAATTTCAATTATGAATGTTTATTCTTCTCTTCAAGCAGGTAAGAAAATTTTTAAAGAATAATTCTTTTCCTTTTATTTATGATATCATAACAAAAACTAGATGAAAAGCTTATTAATATTGCTTCAAAGTTGAATGGAGCTACTTGTCAAGCTAACTCTGTTCATCCTGCTTATTCAAAATTTGATTACAAATGCAACAATGCACTCACACCAATTTGGTTTAACAATAATGACTGGGCAGGAAATTGTTTGGGCGAATTATGCAATTCAATGCAGATCACAATATATTTTAAAAAAATATACAATATAGCTGCAATATGCTTTGTTAGAAGAATTGTAGATACATATATCTATAGTAAAGAAGCGAGAGTTTCATTTAGTAATTGTTCTGAAGAAATCTACAATATAAATTCTATAAAAACTTGTGTCTTAGTAAGCAAAGAGTCTGGAGAAAATAACTCTTTTATTACAATTAATTTTAATTCATCAACACACCAAGCTATGAATTCTGGTTTTAATACAATTTTTGTCTATTCATTTAGCAATGGTAGAGATTTTAATGCATATTTTATTAAAACAGGCAATCTTTACATAAAAAAAACTTTTCAATTTTCCTTTGGCAGATACTAGCGACATTGATGAAAATGTATTTATTAATGTGGCAGATATTGAACTTGGAGCAAGTTGTGTCAGTTCTAGTTCACAAAATGGTCAGGAATGTACAAAAGCCTTAAATAGAATATTTAACAACTATTGGACACCAGCCTGCGGTCTGTTAGGACAACCAACTTGCATTGGTCAATATATAAATATTGTTTTCCCTTTTCTATCCCAACCTTACATTTACTGCTATGCCAACAGGTAATACATTATTTAAAAATAAAAACACTATCAATGACATATGAATATTTAATTATTGTTTATAGATATGATAATAACGCTTATATAAAGACCATGCAGTTGGTATGGAGTTCTGAATTTGTTGAACAATTAACAAATTTACCTTCAGATATATACCACCATTGCTACAACTATAAATATAGACCAACTATTGAGTCATCAGTCAATATTACAATAACAGATGTTTATTCCCATAATTACATTGGACTGAACTACTTTAAAGTTTTTACAAAACGTCTTTTATTTTTTATTTTTTTTTTATTTTTTCATTGACCTACTTTTTTCTTTCCATTTTTTAGAGATTGAAGAGAATATTTACTCTATTCAAAGTCAATATGATGTTTTCTATCCTCTAGATCAACAACTGTTTGATAATTTTATGGCTTTTGCATTCAAAGTGAAAGGTGAGCACACCGGACATCCTGCTGATTGTTCATCATTCATTATGAGTTTTAGTGATACCTCAACAATACTTTTTAAATTGAATATTGATAAGATTGCTGAGAATGTAAAATCATCATCAATCACAGTTTATAATTCAATGAATGCGAATATTGTTGAATTTAAACAATCTTCGGCACTAATGAGTTGTGATTCCTGGAGTGAATTTTGGATATTATTGACTGATAATCAAATCAAATTTGGATCTGGTTTAGCCTATGATGAGAGCATATTGGCTATCATAAACACATCAATAAATTTGAATATTAAACAAATATCTTTCAAGAATGGTGAACATTCAATTATGAACAATATTCAAATATTGGATAAAGGTAGGTGGTCTGAATAGTCTACAGGATGCAATTGATAAGACTTTTGCAGAGGGAAGAAGGATACTGCTATCTAACTTTCCACAATGTAATAATCCACAGATTTCTAATTTTCTGGATAAGAATTTAGCTACGTGCTCAACTCTGAAGGCAAACCCAATATATTTTGAATATCAGCTGACAAATGCAAAAGGGAAAATGCTGTTTGTGAAAAATTCAAATTTGGTAATGATATTCAAAAAAAATGTCGGAATTGACATGAATATTGATATATATATTACTTATAAGATTAAAAATGATGATTTAAATGATAAAATTTGTCAACTGGAAAACTTTTCTGGGAAAAATCAATATCTTGTGTACAATTTCGTTTGTGAACATATTGAAAAAGTAGAATCAAATGTAGTTTCTGTGAAAATTTTTCAAAATAGTGTTTCAGAAATTCATGAAATATTTCTTTGTGATATGTTCTTTGAACAGTAATGTCTTATACTTTCACTTTGAAAATATCTAAAATAAAGAAATAAATATATTTAAGCTGATTTAGTTGATCGAAGATGTTGAATTTGCTTATTTCTGAAATGAAGCAGAGAGAACAGGGCTTAGATCAACTTATTACCACTCAATATCTTACCAAAAATTATTATTATATTATCATGTGACTATTCAGCTGATAGAATTATGTATTCGTTTGATAAATATAGTCATATAGCCCCTAAAATATCATTAAATTAAAATGGTGTATTGATAACAGCAGAAGGTGTAAATAATGGATTTGCTATGAATCCATTAACTGATGATCCTATAACTTATTTTGCTTTTGTATTTAATCAAACTACCAATAAACTTTTCTAATATTTAAATGGTGTTCAATATTGTTATTTTACTGTTAAAGGGTTCAGTAGTGGTGATCCAATTTTTTAAATTCATATTTGATGCTTTTAAATACTTTTTCATTATAAAAAATTGAGCCAAAAATCAAATATTTCTATTATAAGACAACAATTGAATATATTACTTTGAATATGAAAATAGAATAATAAAATATTGCCAAAAAATTCCAAACCGTAAACATATCAAATAGAGTAACCATAGTTTTCCATATTGTCAACTGCAATAATTCTTTGTGGGAGTGTAGTAATGACCTTGTCTGTTGACATGTACAAAGAGTCTTAGAAGAGACGTTAGCTAAGGAGCATAAGATATTTAGTATTGCAACAGCAAAATTTAGGACAGGATAATAGATAAAGAGATGCTGCCTATGGCATTTGAAAAGATGTTAGGTTTCTTCTCTGATCATTTTATGCTTGATTAGGCTATGAAATGCTGTTTAACTCTAACCCTAACCTAGCCCTTGTCTCTCTCTCTAACCTTTTTGGTAAGACAATCTTTTAATATTATATAAAGAGTTTAACCCTGAATTGAAGTCAATATATTTTTCAAAAACAAAAGAAAAAATTGCTATTGTTTGATAAAATGAGAATAGCAATTAAAGTTTTCTTCATCTCCACCCATATCTATCATCCTTTTAACTATTTTGCAATTACTAAATTGCTCATTATTCCAATAATGTGTTGTACTTGACAGACGTTTCTTGAGGTCTTTCTAAAGATAGTATTGTTATATAAGAGAGTGATAATCTTTGTATCAACAAATTTTTTTTAAAGTATTGAGAGAAAAATAAAAAACTATGAATAACACCTCTTATTATCCAGCTTTTCCAGAAATACCAGATACAATGGATTGGTATATAGGTGTGAGAGTTATGACTTCAATTTGCTTTATTATGGGTATGTTTGGAAATATTGTAAGTTTTATTATCTTCAAAATTGCATAAGTGGCAGAAAATTTAGAAATGAATTCCTGTCATTATTCCGAAAAAAGTCAATTAAAAGTAAAAATTCCAGTAGAAGTATGATCACAAAAAGTGATACTTCTACCAAACAAGCTACTTCACCCTGAAAAGAAAGAGTACATTATTGTATGTTAGTCATGCAAAGTCCTGTCTAATACATGTTCAATTAGGAACATTTTACATTGTAATAAGCAACTAAATCTGTTTTAAAAATATTTAAGTGGGAGAAAATATTCACAAGTGAAAATATTAACAAAAGAAAAATTTTATGAACAGTACACAAATGTTAAATAGGCTCTATCATTTAAAATGGTGTTATTACCTGATGAAGACCAGTAATGGTCGAAACGTTGTAATTTTTATTTGAATAGAATACTCTTTTAAAAATATATATGACTTTAATGAACTATTGAGGGTTATCGATCATCTATTGCATTGTCTCCTAACCCTAACCGTAACCCTTACCAAAAAGGATACTGAAGTGGCTTAACAAAATAAACAAGGAAAGGACCTAATCTAACCGTTTCCAAACAAAGCGGCCTATAATCAACATCAACAATTGACCTACACGTGTCTTGTGAGTGGTACAACCCTAACCTTTAACCAAACCTAATCTAACCCAAATATATTATTTTTTAATTCGAATTATACTGACAACAAAATAATGGAAGATACAAAATACAAGATCATTTCAAATAAAAAAGTTACCAGAATGGAGAAATATTTTGGAAAGAAATTATCACTAAGATGCATTCAGCAAAAGTAACTAATAAGTTAATAAATTTGCGAGTATAGGTGTAGTTTATTTGTCACTTATGCTGAATGCAAAATTTAATATTTTTTAATAAAGTAATATTTAGTAATATTAGTAATATTTCATCTATTTTACAAGTCTGAGGTTTTAAAAGAAAATGAACAGTTTGCTGCACTTACTTTTTGAACACTTTCTATGATAAAAGTGTCCACACAGTTTACATCTAGTTTTTGGTTGGTTCCAGTAAAACTTTTTCATGCAAAACCAACAAGTTTTTTAATTCATATTTGATGCCTTTGAACATTTATTTTTTATAAACCCACCAGCTAAAAATCAAATATTCCTAGAAGACTTTTTCATAAACAAGAAAAGGGAAAAATTTTTCTTAAGAAAACTGGTAGATAATAGTACTTCATAGAGAAAACTTGTAAAGTTATTAAAATGAAGATTGGTCAACTAACCAATCATAAAAATGTCCATACTAAAGGGATATAATGTTGAGGCAAAGGGAGACAAAATGTCCAGGCAACGGGGACGAAATGTTCTGGAATCCAGAACAAACATTATGTCTTTTAACAAATGGGCATACTTTTACAAAACACAATATTAAATATTAAAAAATCTACTGAAAAAGTAAAATATAGTATTGAAAGTAATCATATAAATTGACTCTTTACAAGGTTGAAAACCAGGAAATTTCTCTGCTCTTTGAAATAAATGTCAAATGATGGCAATGAAAAAACTGGTGAAAGAATAAAGCAGAAGATATTGTCCTAAAATTTAAAGCTAATGAACGAAACAGCACATGCCTGCTGTGTTGTGTGTCAGTGTATATATGTCAGGGTAAGTGTGTGTTCATTTTGTCATGAGAACAGGTAACTTGAGGTAATACTCTTGAAGGTCTGTTTGAGTTGGAATCAAAATTGTAGACAAACATGAAAAGTTCTTTTTGTGTGAGTACTTTGGTAAGTTGGTAAATGATTTGAATGGACGATTACTGTTGTGAAGAAGGAGAAGTTTCTACAATTACAATACAACGAAGTACATCCTTGGTTTTTGAACAGTTATAGAAGGAAATATACAAATATTAACATTTGTTAACTCAAGTAATTAGTTATTGCTGTTCAAGTGGAATATAAACAATGTTCAAATATACAATGCATACATTGTCTCAATTGTTAGACTTGAATTAAAATTGTTACCTCTTCTGCAACTTTTCCAACTACCCCCTAACCCAGTTTAATCTATAATTATACAAACATTCATACTAGTCCACTATTGGTTAACAGTTTTTTTCAAATAAAAAATTCTGATTTCTACTTTTTAGTTCTGAATTGATAAAAATAATCCAAATATGTTTACATGAAACGCAACAAAGCAAATAGAAAAACATGCTATTGCTTTATAGCAAAGATTTTGTAATACACAAAGACAAAACAATTGAGAAAATTTCTGTCGATAATACCATGTTGGAAGATGTATTTGTTCCTCTACTTCCTCCACTATCTTCAGTTCCACCACCACCTCACCACCTCCTCCATTTCCACCTGTTGATTCACCACCACCTCTACCACCGCTATCTCCTCTAATTTGACTGTTGCATCTATTATGGCTACAGAAACAAGTAGACAGATCCCTTGATGTTACGCATCCAGAATAAATGTGCCTATTTTCACAATCCCGCTCAATAATATCTGTACCTAGAAAAAATTCGTATAAATCAGGAGATCAAAACATTAATGTAAAATTTACCTCCAAACCTCTGTATGTAACCATGGTTTATTATCAAGGTATTCACTCTTTTTTTTATAATATTATGAATTCCAACTGCTGTTATGTAAATTTTGATCAATCAATCAAATAATTCCACTGTCATAGCTCAATTATTTATAAGAGAATTTAACACAAACCAGTTTTCACGAATGATTCATATTTTCCCATTCCCCATTTCCACATTTAGAATAATATTGAAAATTGATATTGAAAGGAAATATCCAAAAATTTGTTTTTTACTGGTTGCCTGTCTAAAATATTTTGTAAGAATGGAGCAAAATTATATTATGCATTCCTATTCATAAAATTGTTGTTGGAAAAGCCCAAAACATTCTACTTTTGATTTTACTTCAGGGTCAGTTTGCAACATGTATTATTCATTACTTTTAAAATACAAATTTTAATGAATATGAAATGAATTGTTAGAGTTTATATTATTATTCTTTTAATTTGAGTGTAGTTTCAAGAATATATGATGTTTTATGTACTTTGTTCTATTGAGATCTTAGGAATTTCGTTCTCGTCCGAACCGTATTCATCTGTACAACTCATTTAATATTACGCTAAAGTACTGGTCCAAATAGAACCTCAAGTTCGCCCGCAAGTATAAGCAAATAAATGATATTCGTCCAAAGTTTTATATCAAACTTTCAACAGAATGCTAGTATTTTCCAAATAGGATATGTATTCTGAGCTTTTATCTCTAAGCAAGCAGTTAGAAAACTAAGCTAACAACTGTTAAATTCGTAGGGTTAATATACTTTCCTAGGAGTCTAACAGTTCACAATTTCAAAGTTTCAACAATGCAAAGTAACATTTTGACACAATTGAAATTCTAAAAATGGTTCTGCCTTTAATTGGTTTCGTTCATCGGGAGTAATTAGGTCAGATAAATTTAGGTGGTCAGCTTCTTTTGTAGTAACAATTTTGGTAATATTCAATTCAATCATTGAATATGAAAAGTTGGAACTGGTCCAAAAGTCAACAATAGTTGAGTTTGACCTTTTGATACTCTTTAGCTGGCTGCTAAATTAATGTTCTTAGGCAGTTAAAGTAAGTCTAATGTAGTTCTTTAATTAATGCTAAATTCATTACATTTATTTATAAGAATTGTATATGCTCACATGCATACGTGCATCACAGCATATACATATAATAGAACTGCGAGTACCTAACGTACAACGCTATTGATAAGTATTCATATTAAATAGTATTGAGTTAAGTCTACGGTTTTCTAAAAGAGCATCTATATCGAACTTAGGTGCACAGCCACTTTAAAATAATTAACATATATTAATAAATGTATTATATATGTATGTGTAAATTATTATATAAAATTCCATCATATTATGTTACTTATAATATACCAGTTTTTAATAATTTTACTCACTTCAAGTCAGCCATTTTGATTTTTTTCTAATATTGATTTACAGAATTCTCAGTGAAATAGTATTTTGGGAATAAATCGAAAATAAAAGAAAGGTGAATGAATTATTATTGATGATAATAGCACTTTTTATAACTTTTGGAGATAGATTTATTAGAGTAAATAGTGAAATAACAATTGTCTATCATTTTGTCTGTTGTTATATGTTATTAGAAAATGGGTTTAAATATTTTTAAATATTGATTTCCCTTAACTGCTATATGAGATTTTTATTATGTAAAACTAATATTTTTAATTTAAGTCCTTAAAAATTGGATAATGATGGGTCGAAGGACATTGAGATCAAACAAGAAAATTATTGAGAAAAAAGAAAAGAGGAAAGGGGGATTAAAGCCAAAAAAAGGGACTAAAGTTAAGAAGCAGTCTGTTAAGTATTTATCACACTTTCTTCGCATCTACAAAGGATTGAATGACTGGCATCTACCTATCTTTACTGAAGTTAAAGAATTTTGTGGCGATATTAATACTGTGCTATATCCTGGCTGTGATAAACATCTTTCCGCCTCACTGGTATTCTCCAATGTGACTTATTTGGATTTTAACCCGAAGATGGAACCTTTCTTCAGTGATTCAGCTATACACTCGTGGATAGAAGATAACAGAAAATACACTGATTCTCCCACTATAAATTTTCAAAATATTGATTACATGAAATTTTTTGCACAAAACACCAGTAATTTCGATCTGGTAATCTCAGCTTCTGCTGGATTGATCAGCAATTCTCCATGTCTCGAATTTTTACGTCCCAGTGGTCATTTTCTGGTCAGTGATGCACATTTTGATGCTCGTAATGTCTTTACTAAAGCCAATTTTAATTTAATTGGTGTTTACAATCCAAATATCAAGAAACTTGAAATTGATAAAGTGAGTTTGGAAGGTCATTTTATTACAACAGAAAATAAAAAAATAACGAAGGAGCAAGTTAGCGAAAGTATTTCGAAGCCAAAGAATAAACGATCTTTTAAACTAAAAAAGGAAGCACAATTCATGTTTTATTTGTTCAAAAAAATTAAATGAGATTAGATTGAAAAACTTATACTTTTTTATCTTGTCTATATAAATATACAAAAGTGGTCATTTACCTTTTTTAACTAACAAACACACAATTTTATAGAAAACAGTTTTAAAAGTTTGCCATTTTAACGTTATGCATACATTTTATTTTAGTTGACAATAAATCCTTATTTTTCTACATAAAGCTGTCGAAATAAAGAATTAATTACTTTTTATGGCAAGTTAATTAACATTCAATTATTATGGTTAGGATTTGCAACAGGTTTTTATTAACAAAATCAAAAAACAGAAACAATTCTCACACTTCAAGAATCCCAAATGATTTTGGGAAGCAGTCAAAGAAAAAATACGCCACAATCGATGTTTGAAACAATTTTCAAAAGAAAAAATTTTTTTTCTGAATTTTTCAATAACTTCCTACCTACTCAACCTATCGTGGTTTCTTCCCTATGCACATACATTCGTCAGCAATACTCTTCAATAGATAAGTAGTTTTGAACCAGTATTGTAGTGTGCAGATAGCACTGATAAAGATAAGCAGTATTGACCTAGTTTAGCGTAGGGCAGTGCATATATCAATCTTCGAAATTCGAATATTACTTAGAAGAGTAAACAACAATAAAAACATGACCATATTTAGAACTTTCTTTGCCTTAAAATGTTACTTTTGTTTTTTTGAACATTGAAATTTGTCAACTATCAACCCTTAAAAAGAGTAAATAAACCATACGAAATTAACAGTTGATAGTTCAGTTTTCTAACCATCAGCTAATTGTTCAAACTAGCTTGTTTAGAACTAGAAGCTCATTTTTTACTCAATACATATTCTTTGGACGAAATACTGGTGTTTTGTTGATTCATTTCTACCCAAATTATATTTGTTAGACTATTAGTGGAATTTCTGCTTCTTCAGAACAGTATTCGTCCTTTCCAATCATTTTTCAACTTTCCAAAATACTCACACAAATAGAACCTTTCAAGTTCGTCTACAAATAGTCTTAATAAATGTAATTTCGGTAGAAATTAATCAACAAAATATCAATTTAGATGCCACAAATAGTGGTAATATTTCTGAAAATCAACTAGTGGAAGCTGATCTAACTATTGTAAATAGTATGGATTGCAATAATTTTATAGAGGACTCATTTGAAATGAATGAGGAAGGAAAAGCAGATCCAAATGAAAAATTCACACTTCTCCTTGGAGGAAGCCAGAGAGGCAAGGATATTCTATCACATGATGGATTTGCTTTTAATATAAAAAACGAAGTGAGAATATGATAATTTGGAGAAGATCTGTCAGAAATAAAAAAATTCTTTGTCCTGCAACAATCAAACAAAGAGGAAATATATTTGTCTCAAGTCATATAAATCATAACCATGAAAAAAGAGTTTAATATCAAGTATAAAGGCAAGGAGAGAACTAAAAAGTATTTGTAATAATGATGTTAGGTCATCAGGAGA